ACCAAATTGCAATGAGCTAGCATTAAAGCCAAGTATGTACCCATGAAAGTAGATCTTTTAACTGTAATACATACAGAACCATAAGACAATGTTAGCTGCTGGGAGCAAAATGCTTCAAAACCAGAGACAAGTTCTCTTAGGACAAGCGACTCTCTTCAGCATCTTGTGAGACAAAGACTCTGCTAGACAATGGAGACAGGAGGGCTCCAGCTGAGGGAAATGGCCCACGTCAAGGCATTATTAGTGTGTGTGCTAGGGCAAAGAATCTGGGTTAAGGGGCCTGAATTTGTCTACCCTCTGTGAGTTTACAATCTCAAATTTACTCCACCCAATGCACACTCTCAAACAAGTACAGGTAAGTTCAATTCATGAGTGTATACTAAAATCTACCACTGAACTCTCCTACTAAAACAACATCACACTGTCCAACAATGACCAACTCAGCAGAATCTGCAGACTCAAGAAGTCTTTCCTTACCTTTGGAAGCCCGGCCAGCAGGATGTCACAAGCAGGTGAGTTTCAAGCCAAAATACAAGTCATAGTTTATCTCCTCCTATGCCAAGGAGATAGGAAAGCAAGACCCAGGAAAAGGATCCTATCCTCCTCCTCAGCAATGGCTTTGATGCTTACCAAGACCCCAGAATGCCAGAGCAAAAAGGAAGACTAGCCACCTAACAAACACTCACCCAACACTGGTAAGTGTAACTAAACAGAGAGAGCTGAAAGCAAATCAGGCACACAGGCTGTGTGGTGAGCTCAAAGGGCCACAGGCTCAAAAAAGAAGCAAGAAGAAATACTTAAAAGTCAAGCTAAACCAGAGTGCTAACCAGACAGCTGGGGAAAGTTACCCACTAACTGATCTTATCTACTCTTCGGTTGAGAAGAGGGGTTGCATGGTATGAACAAGACAGGGTGTGACACAACACAGGTTCCTGGAAAAGCAAAAAATTGTTCATCATCAAATGTGAGAGCTAGGCATGGTATCCAGGCCTGGAATCCCAGCCATCACAAGCAAGAAGACCACTAGTTCAAGGCTAGCTCAGGAAACCTACCAAGCTCCTGTCTCAAAACAAAGGAACAACAAAAACAAAAAACACTGTTGTTTTAAACACACACACACACACACACACACACAGTCTCACTCCTGCTGAAACAGAACTGAGGCATTTTTCCCCCTGTGCTCAATGGCTAATCCCTAAAATGTTAATAATTAATTTTCAAATCTCAAAGTATCTGAAATCATTCTTTAGGGAAGTGAGTAGCCATTAGCAGAGATCATAGACAGCACAAGGCTTGCAGACTCCAGTAATAAAATCAATGCTTCGCTTGGGAGAGACCTGATCGACCCAGGTATCAGCATTGTGGAGGATATTTGTATTGTTTTCAGAGAAGGGCATCAAACTCAGCATCAATAAGGATGGTCATTTTTTCAGTGGCTCACAATGGACAGTCTTAGTTGAATCAGGCAACAAGGTCCCAAAAGCACATCCAGTGGTCTGAAAGCCACTTTTTAAATATGTTACAGCTAGGAATGCTACAATCTCTCCATAGCCACATTTTTCCCCTCCAGAATATCAAATTCTTACCAAATACTACATAATTCTTACTTACTCTGATCCAACAATTGTAAAAAATGGTTACCACTGGTCACTACGTAACCAACAAAACTCAGTGTGTTGTTACAAATCTGGTAGCAAGGTTAGGGTCATACAGATTTGCTCCATACATAGATCAAAGCACGAACATGTTGGGGGGCAGTCATTATGATCTCCAAGTCTTTTTCACTTTTTTAAAAGGACATTTTTAATCAAGACCTTCGGTTACAGGTATCTTGTGTGTTCCCAGCACCCATTCTAGAAATGCAATAAAATACTTACTGAACATAGTTCCTGACAACCAACATTAAAGGTTTCCCAAAGCAAGCAGAGGGGAAACACAAGAACATGTGAACTATTTGTAGTATGCTTTTTATTCTGTTTCACAACTCAAGTCTGAATAATGCTTCCAGGAACTTGATTCCGTGCGGGAGAAAAATGTACACTGCTACAATATTTTACATGTGTCCCGTTTATGGAAAATGCAAGTAAAACTAACATTTTTACACTAAGTTCCTTATTTCATAGAAACTTATTACAAGTAACATCACCCACTGAATATGCCATATCACGTATGAAACAGTATCATGTAAAGAAAGACAGAATCTGTCTTAAACTCTCATGCAACCCACTGTAAAAGTTTGACCATTAAAACATTAAAATAAGTATATTGTTAACCCAACCACTGGATCAGTGAAACTATATCAGCAGGGGAAAAGAAAATGTTGTCTGGAAATAAAGACAAAGGCGTTTTTGTCCCTGTTGAGCCATTCATTTATTATGACCTTACCTAATTAGCTAGCCTCCCTGGGTCTCAACTCGCTTGTTTGATTTTATTTTTTACTCAGCCTATGTATGTAGCATTGTCCAGAAAACCAATGACATCCACATCGCCCTTTTCTTGCTCAAAAAGAAAAAAAAAAAAAAACCTCACATTTCACTTGGCAGCTTTAAATTTCCGAGTTTGGATCTCTATCAAAGGCAATTTATTAAAATGTCCGATGAGCTTAAGTCCATTTCTTGGGGGAGAATAAAGCAAGCATTGCTTACAGATTCAAGTTTCATCCAGACAACAGCTGCAGTAATTGAGCAAACAGTCTTTCTTAGTCTTGTCTTACAGGCTCTACAAGTGGAGAAAACTAGAAAGGGTGATTTTCACGGTTTCAGAAATGCAAACCGAGGGCTTTCCCTGCCTTTCTCTTCTTTACCTTTTTTTTTCTCCTGTTCTTCCTCTTCTTTCTCCTCCCTCAACTTCTCCACCTTTGCTGTCCTCTTCCTCCTTGAGGAGGGGAGGGGTAAAGGGGAGGAGAGACTTGGAGCCCAGACTGCCTCAGCACCCCAGGTAAGAAATGGAACTCCAAACACCAGTTTTCAGGTCCCACTATTTTGCCTCACAGAATAAATTCTTACAAAAACTGTTCTACCACTCCTCCTCTGGCTTCTTAGAGAATCGCAAGCACAATGGTTTTTCCCAACCACTCACACGTTTATGGGAGCTTTCCTTGTCTTCCTGGCCTGACTAATAAATCCAACAACAAAAAAGTATGTATTACTCAGCTTTGAAAATGGAACCCACCGTGGCCCATGGCTTCCCCAGGGACATTTACTCCATTCCACTCTCTCTCCCTACCAACAGAACTCTCCAGAAGGCAAAAGTGTTAAGATTTCTTGCAGATGGCTGGCACACAGTAGGTGACAGGTATTTTGAAGAAGTTGAAAACACAGATATTTACAACAGCACGCCAAATGTAAGTTGCAAACCACAAATTTGGTAGTGAGTATTCCTCCCCCTCTCTCTTCCTTTCCCTCCAGCCCTCCCTCCCTCCCCCCACCTCTCTCTTTTTCCTTTTGCCAGTCCTGGGGCTTGCATTCTGGGCCTGGGCACTGTCCTTGAGCTTCTCTGGCTTAAGGCTAGTGCTTTACCACTTGAACCACAGTGCCATCTCTGCCTTTTTCTGAGTAGTTTATTGGAGATAGTCTCACAGACCATCAGTCTCACAGACTGGGTTGGCTTCAAACCTCAATCCTCAGATTGCAGCCTCCTGAGTAACTACCATTACAGGTACTTCGCCTGCCTCGATTTCTCTTCCTTTCAGTACAAGATTCCTCCTTCTTTACAAAAACTTGCCCAAAGGCAAATAGCCAGTAAATAGCACCTGTTCAACTTCAAAAATGGCTCACAGGACTATCTGTTTGCCTTCTCGTTTTCTGTCTAGCTGTTTGAGAACAAGTTAGATTCAGGTTTCCTGTTGGACCTAACACTTGTGAAAATTCAATTATGTGCTAGACCAAGGAAGGAAACTTTACTTAAATAATTGACCAAGAACAGCAACTTCATAAAGCCCTTCATACACATGATTGCAGGTTCATACATGGAAATTACAGGTTCTACTTTTCTGCACACACACACACACACACACAAAGCAGATCTTCAATTTTCATTCACTGGCTGATAAACCTGAACAGGTGAAGGCTCAGAATCTCAGAATTCATTTCAAATTGTACTTACCTAACCTGTGCACACACAACCTCTCTGATGAGGCAGCATCTGCTGTACTGAACTGAAAGCCAAAAAACAGTCTTCCAGTTTCATCTGTTCCTACCCGTCCGTCCAGTGCAGACAGACAGAAAGCTGAGTAGACTTGTGGAGTCATTCCCACAGTGGGACAAAGCATCACACAGTGCTACCTAAACTCCCTAACCAGCCTCTAGCATTCTCCGGCGTGGCTTAGAAATGCACATTCAAAAGAACCTCTGAATAGGCCGTGGATTATAGAGCGACAATATGAATCCCATTATGGGAAAAAAAAAAAAAAGAGAAGAGAGCATGCTGCCTTCGGTGATCAATATGAAGCCAGATCGATTGTGAGAAGAAGAAAAGGAAAAGCAAGCTTCCTCCAGTGGGCACCGTCAGAGCTCTAGGGCTACTTCATAGGTGTTTATGTGGAGCAGCTGTTCCCAACAGGTACTGCCTGGGCTATCCAAGGAACCAGGGTTTCCATGGGCTGAAAAGAGCCTCCCCGTCCCTCACCCCCTTTCCCACCACTAAACACACGCTTTTGACTGGGAAGAGCTCACAAGACTTGTGCGTGCACACACACACACACACACACGTGCCCAGCATCCTCAAGTGGTCCTAGTAACCCAAGGTAAGGGAGCAAGTTCCCAGGGCCTCGACCCTTAGCCCAGGCTGACCAGAGGACACACAGAGACCCCCCCCGGGGGGTCCTAACCTTGGACGGGAGCGTTCATCCCAGTGAGCCCTTTCCCCTCCAGACCCCTGCCCCCAGCAGAGGGCATGGAGGTCGTATGGCTAGCCTTCACTGCTCTCTTGGGGTGCTCACCGCCCCCCTTCTCTGCCAGGACCTCCCAGATCTGGTCGAGCCCCCCCCCTCTCTCACCAACCTCCTCCAAGTGCCAAAGCAGTTCCCCAATCTTGAAGCCAAGGCGCCCGGGGGCCCGGGCAGAGCCGCGGGCGGCGGCGGCCCCACCCACGGGGGGGGGACCGGGATCCCCGCCGACGCCGGACACTGGACGGCACCCCCCGGCTGGCTTCCGGCGGGGCTGACCCCCCTCCCCCCACACGCACACACACGCACGTTCAAAGGTCCATTGTTCCAAGAAAAGCCAGAGACAAGGACCCGACCCCGACTCGGACCCCGCGGGAACGCGGTTTCCTGCAAACGCGGAGGCGCGAACCCGGGAAGCGGGGAGGCCCGGGACGGACGGCGCCCCCCGGTCCCGACAGGCAGGGGGCCAGGCCTCCCCAGGTGCGCGGGGCCGCGGCCCGGGCT